ATCGTACCAAAGAAAGCTTTCAAACTCAACAGGCTAGTTGTGTGATTGTCGTGCTTCTGCAAAGCCCTTATGTGCCGCTGTCTTCCTGTTGTTTTTTCCCACCCTAATTTGACTTTTGAAAGTTGAGTCTTTGCACCTGGCGACTGCGCAGAAAGCGCTCACGTACTCTGAAACCGACGTGATGCTTGAACATCTTCGAGCTCCCTTTGAAGCCATCCGTGGTTACCAGGTTTATTCGCTCTAATAATACAGCTGTGCTTGCTCTCGTCATTCACTTGGCTCCCACACTGCCAATGGTAGTGCTGTCTATATGTTCGATACAAATGGTATCCATCTCGCCCATCTCGCCCATCTCGCCTACAGAATGGTGTCGTTGCAACATAGCAGGGCAAACTTGGATTCCAGCGATGTGATATGGGAGCGACGAGAGACCAAGTGAGTCGGACTTTATGTTCATTGAGACTAGAGGTTAACATTTCCAGGTCATGGATTATCCCCGGTCATGCTCTCAGCAACGTGAACGAGTTTCTCAGACACCTCAGGCAATATGGACACGAGGCACGAAAAGCCATGGATCTCGTTCCTTGGCGAACTGCGCCTTCGCTCATGGACATGATCCAACTCGTACGTTCCGGAAATCACACGAATCACAGTAGCTCAGCAGAGGTCCATAGCATCTGGATAGCACGGGCAGCCATGAAGACCGCAACCTTCGCAAAACTTGCATTCAGTGCCTCCTTCGCCTGAACAAACGCCACTTTTCCCTACCACCCTCACTCCATCTTGCGAATATCGTGAAGGACGGGTCACATCCAGTCGCTGGCGGCGGATTTGCTGTTAGGCACATCACCTCAAACTGTAGTTTTACGATCATCTCATGCAGTGCCTTTAGGATATATGGAAAGGGCGTCTCAGGAATGACCGACTGGTCTGCCTCAAGGTTTTACGCGTTTATACAGGAAACTTCGACAAGAACAAGCTGATGAAGGTACGTCGGTGTGTACCACTGTTTCGTACGTGGACTTTGAAAGCTGTAAACTGATACATCCAGCAACTGGGTAACGAGGTCCTTATCTGGCGCCAACTTCGCCATCCGAATGTTCATGAATTCCTCGGAATCACAAATGAGTTGTTCGAGCCAAGCTACTGCATTGTCTCACCTTGGATGGCAAATGGGGACGTGATGTCCTATTGTCGTGAGCGCAATTCGAGTCTCGACGTCAAGGTTGCGATGGTGCGGCACTACCAAGTTGGACCTAGCCTCCGAAAACAGGAAACTGATGATCTTGAAGATGCAAGAATTTTGTGAAGGCTTACGATACCTTCATGAACATAACCCCCCAATAGTACACAGTGACATCAAAGGCGTACGTCGACAGTTGATCCCGACCTCCCAGAGCCTCACCGATCTATCGTCACAGGTAAACATCCTTGTCTCTGACGATGGTCACTGCCGAATTGGCGACTTCGGACTCTCTACCACTGAAGATGACTCGCCTGAAGGGCGTGTCAGTGAAAGCACGAGCCAGGCAGCAATGCGAGGTTCACTTCCCTGGCTTGCACCCGAGTTGATGAATCCGAGTGGTGTCGAATCGCCAAACCGAACGACACGGGATATCTATGCACTAGGGTGCACCATGTATGAGGTACGTCAGTATGCTGCATCTTAGATCTTGTGTTGTCTAGATGATAATGACCGTTTCAAAGATACTCGCTGGAAGTCCTCCCTTCTCTGACAGGAAGATGGACCCTCAGATCATAATTGCGGTTTTGGGTGGCGTGCGACCGATGCGACCAGCGGGATGCCCTGACCATCTCTGGACAACCATCGAGCAATGTTGGACAGAGGACTCTGGATCACGGCTTGTCGCATCCCAAGTGGTCGCTCTTCTGCCCAAACTGACTCTTCCGTCCCTTTCTTCCCCCAGCGCCATCGATGCAGGGGAAGTCAAGTATATGGGCCCGGGTGAAGTACCAGAAGGGAATCAGCTGGAACATGCAGACCAGAAGTTCCACCCCCATGTTCGAGACTCGCTATTCCAAGGCACATACTCTCTCTCACCGATTTCTATACCCCGCAGCCAAGATGAAGGGATATCTCCAGTATACAGCTCAAGAAAAAGAGATATAGATGAAGTTGATTCCCCCATCGAATCTGAGATTCCAGCCAAGCAACGGCGTCTCCCTTCTCCGCCTGTCGTGGTTCCATCAAGTGCAGACAGGCACTCTAAACGTTGGTTTACATTAAGCAGTGTCACCTGCACTCCATACCCAACTGGCATTCAAGTCGACAGTCAAAAGGCCATGGCGTGAGTGACAAGGGATTTGCTGTCTTCTTCATTCGTTAACTTCGGTTTAATTTAAAGAGATGCCAGTTCTTGCGCACGCTGTAGAAGCCTCGAGGTTCTATGCCAATGGACGTCCGGAACAAGCCTATGTCAGTTATGCTCGGAAGGTGGCCATGACTGTATTGTACCAGGAAGAAATTGGAATCCGACACCAGTCGTCCAACAAGGCACTTTGACGGGACTAAATAATGACGCTGATGCTCACCAATCGGCTCCAGTTCGTCCGACATTACCACCTATATCAGCAACGCTGGATCATATTCCTACCAGTACTTCTTTAGCCAAGCGTCGGCGTTCCCCTTCCCCGCCCAGTGTCTCGGTGCATCATCGATATCAACGGTATGTGCCGCCCAAGCTCCCTGTGAGAGCCAGAGCTGAACCCCAATACATAAATCCCGTTTCACTTTGCCATCATCACAGGTTGCCTTCGCCTCATATCCCACCTCTCGAGCAACAGGCGACGTCTAGGAAATTCGCGGGCACAGCGCCTTCAAAGAGTGGCGGTCCTGTAGGGTCTGCCGGGCATCATCCAAACGTCCCGGGTCCTCCAAGGGCAAGCGACAAAGCCTCTAACTACCAATGGCACGCATCTACATCTGATGTAAACCTATTTGGAAAGTACTTATCTGTCTTGCCGCCGCCTGGTCACACTATCAGTGAGAATCAACCGGGGCACGATGTCGAGAAGGATTCAGAGCCACTCGGCGGGATGCCATTGGCAGAGATGCACTCTGTGGATAAACCCTACAGTTCCAGCGGCATTTCACGCCCTCCTCTTGCTTCTTCATCTGTGAGCTCAGGGCCAGGGCCTCGGCCGCACACACTGACGCGCAAGCGAGCCCGCGCTTCACTTCCTCCTCCGATTCTTGGCCCCTCACTTGGACACCCATCGCCGATAAGGGGTTCTCAAAACGGCACCAGTAGTAGCACGCATGCTCCACGGAACTTTGGGGTGACAACCCCGCAAAGCGCTGGCGCTAGCAGCAGTGCATTCATTCGGCCTCCAAAACCACCGCCTCCTAAAGGGACGTTGACGGGTCTGAGCTTGGGGCACAAGAGAGTTGCATTATCCTTTCGCGGCGACTCCCCGCCGGACCCTGTATGGGATCATATCTCTGTCCGAGACGTCTGGAAAAGCTTTCGGCTCAGGGTTGGTACTTCAGAGCTTGCCGGTGTCCTCCCATCTTCCTACAGGGTCTGAGCAGGCTCCAGCTTCATCCGTCGAAAGCACGCATCGGGTCTCTTGGTATCGCTGTAGGGTATGCGTGCTTACTGTAAAACATGAACCTTTGCGATCAATAATGCACTTCCTGTTTCTTTGTCTTCACAATGCGCTCAGTGAGAGCAGGAAGAGGTATCAGAGCTGCTGCTATCCCACACACTCGGTCTACAACCTCCTACGGTCTTGAAGCAAAAAGCCTTTCAAGACCCTACCCAGGAGGTCGCGTCCGTGATCGTGCCATGCCGTAGCTCACCCACCTGATCAAGCGAACAGAAACGCCGAACGATATCAATAAGCTTTGTTCTATCATCGAGCCAACTTACCCCGATAGTACTGGGTTCTACATTCAAGGTCACAATTTCAATTTAAACGTCAGTCGCCACGTAACTTTGAAAAAGCTCGCTCAGCGAGTGACCATAAGAGCATCTATTCTTCCACCTCCTCCTCCTTAGAAGTTAACGACTCCATGGGTTTGTCGATGTAGTCCATAGAATCTGCATTCAAAAAAAAAAAAAAAAAGCGTTCAACGCGAGTGCCGGTGAAATACGCACATCCAGGCTAAACTATAACCGAGACAGTCTGACTCGTAGGATTATTGCTGTTACGGAGGAGGAAAGCAAAGTTGGAAGTTGACGGTCTGGGTCAACTGCTTGGGCGGAGGGGGGCCTCCAGGGTCGTTGGACTAAACTTGTATCGGGTCGAGTCCGGATGAGATTGTGATAAAAGATACTTACGATGAAGTAAGTTGGGAAAAATAAACCATAGTCAGCATGGACTTACGGCCGAGTGTCATCTCACTATATGAGGAGAGCAAAAGACTTGGCTGGGGGCACAAACAAAAAGGACTCAAGAGCGAGGGCAAGGACTAGAGGGAATGGTGCCAAGTCATGATTATCACCCCCTTCGTTCAAAACTCGATTGGAACTACTTACCGGCATCTGATTCATTTCACAAATACAGGTTGACGTTGAGCCCTCGACATATTCCAACTTCCGAAGGCCTAGTCGTAATTCGAACCCGGTCCAACGTTCCGAATGGGAGGTACCCAACAGGGGCTTCGTCTACAATTCACAAGCCCATGATTCAAGTTGCTGCCGGACGACTAAACAATGAACAAGATTTTCCTGAGCACGAACGGCGGCCGAACAAGTGGTTCCAAGTCGAGTGGCTGACGGGGGGTGGTTGGTTCAGCCACCAGCGTGGGAACTTGATCTATTTGTGTCTCAGCCCCGGCAAAACTCTATCTCTTCGAGACAACATGCATGGGATTTCTCGGAAAGAGTTTAGGTCGCGGCACTCCGAATTTCCGAGTCCTGGCGGTGAATAGCCGTTATGCTAGCGTCCTCGGTTTGCATAATCTCCAACCTGAAACGGGCTTGAATGAGCCTGGGACCCGGGTACATGTTAGTGCTGGATCCTCCACTTTTTAAGGCGCTATAGCCAAGTGGTTACGGCGACAGATTAGAATCGATTCGCGAACATGACTATCTGTTCCTCTTTGAGGGCGCAGGTTCGAATCCTGCTGGCGTCGATTGGACCGATGAAATCTGTTTTTGTTTCATGAGCAACAAAAGATTTGCTTTGGGCAGAGATGTATGCGATGATATTCGTTCAGTCTCGTTTTCGTACGTGGTGCAGCCCGAGTCTATTTGTCTATACGAGTCTCGAGACGGGTCTAGGTAAGATACAACATGAATAATTAGGTAGGTAGGCAAAAAAATGACAAAACGAGTTTCAAGAAACAGAGATGTGGATAGTGATACAATGTATGTCGGTCGTAGGCTGGTCATTACAAGTCATTGAGGTTCTACTCCCTCTTTCTCTTCCCCGCAACACCAGCCAAACCCATAACAGCGCCAACACCAGGGGTCGGCTTTCTCTGGATGGCACTCCCCTCGGCCGCTCGTGCCATAGCAGCAGCCAAGGACGTAGGTGGTTTGGACCCAGCGAGGATTCCGCCAGCGAGGGTCTGTGCACGACCACGACGGGCCATCAAGGGTGCTGGTGGGGCTACCGGCTGAGTCGTGATGGATGTGGAGGTACGCCTCATCCGAGCAGCGCCGACACTGACGGGGCCTGGGACAACGGAGGCGAATGCAGCTGGAGCGGAAGGACGGGAAGGACGCTTTCGTTTCGCATCGGGGAGTCGGATCGTTGCTTCGGCGTCGACGTCGAGGTCTTCGGTGGTAGGGAACAACGTTTTCTTCGTAGGCGGTGGAGAAGGTGCTGGTCGTCTGAACATCCTTGGCGTCTCCTCCTCTTCCTCCTCCTCTTCCTTTTCCTCTACCACTTCCACTTCTACGCGCTTGCTCCCAATTCTAGCCAGCTCCATCCCGCCTTCATACCTAGGACGAGGTGGAAGACCTTCCCTATCAAGAGTCGCAAACACCGCCTTGACTGGACTCCTCTTGACGCTTTTCTCCACCTGTGCCTGTAACCGCTTTTGCAGCGCGTCCGGCAGACGAACAGTACCAGCGTCAGTCGACGATCTCGCATGAATCGCAGGCGTGACCGCATCGAGCGGAGGCGTGATAGCGTCCGTGTTGTGCACAGGCAACGGCAGCGGAAGAGGCAACGGCAACCTCATCTTCTCCTCCTTCCCTCCCACTTTAGAAACCCGAATCGTCTCTCCATTCGTCACATCCACCAAACTCAGACTCCTCTTCCTAACCTTCTCCTTCTCGCTCGACCAACTCAACCCATCCAAATCCCACCCCAACCCAGTTCCAACAGCCAAATCGACCTTGGCGTTCATGATAACCCGAATAGCGTGATTATCCTCTACCTGCTGCTCGCTCTCCATCTGAGCGATACGTTGTTTACGATGGCAGGCACGAGAGGAGAGCGGGTTGGCGATGTTTTGGGAGTGGGTGGAGGTGCGGTCGGCGGGCATCTTTTTGGTGGTGGTGGTGGTGGTGTAGAAAAGTCGAAAGGCGTGTAGGTTATATAGGTGATTTATTGTGTTGGGAATGCCACAAGCCACGAAAAATATGGAGGCTGGTAAAGAAATGAATGGTTGTTAAGCAAAAGCTCGTGTAAATCCTGCCACCCCTGGAGCGGATGCCACATACCTGGGACTGAGCGATGACTGTACAGTGTTGTTTGTTTTCGTTGCGTATCGATACAATTGGGCGAGTCGTAGGGTCGTAGAGTCGTAAATATCGTAGGAATCGTGCAAAGAGATGGATGGAAGGAAACGAAGACGCAAGAAAGTCAAAAACAGCCGGGAAGAAAAATCGGAACTTGACGTCAGCACCGATTTAGCGCCCCCCTATATAAAAAACCCTGAAACACGATCACGCGACGCGTCCATGCGGGAGTCGTTCGAAACGCCGATGACGATCCCACAAAGCCTTCGCGATCGGTCTGTAGCCATTGACTCATAAGAGACCCCCCGCTGTAATGCTAGAAGGTTTAAATCTACTAATCTACACTGGCATTGCATCTAAGTATTACTCGAAGCTGTACTTACCACTGAGGAAACAAAGAAAAACAAAACACTTGTGACGTGCCCATGCTCAAAACGACGCCAGCAGGATTCGAACCTGCGCCCTCAAAGAGGAACAGATAGACCACATCAACGAATTCAACCAGATTCTAATCTGTCGCCGTAACCACTTGGCTATAGCGCCTTGACGGAGAGCAGTCTGGCGCTCCCATGTACCGGAGGCTCATTTGAAGTCGAAGGTCAACAAACATTCCACAGCATTATTGACTGTCAAGAACGATTGCCGCGGCCCACCTTGTCGACATTGAGAAATCGTATGATAGAACTTGCAACAATAAATGTAAACGCTGCAGAATCGCAACGTTCTTTCTACTAGGAGGCTCACCCCACGACTGTATTCCCGAATTCCAGTGTCCTCCGAGTGAGTCATCCGGCACATTTTCGATATCAATGTCCACTAGGTCTACGATCACAGTCTTTTTACAATGTTCGGCCCTGATGCATGATGGATGGTCATCGGTGCAAAACCTACTACTGCCAGATAGTAAGTATCATTCTCCGAACGTTTCTCGGTTATCGGTGACGACCTAGGTTCCCAATGACTTTGAGGGACTGGTACTTTCAACACTAGGAATCTCCGCAGACATGCTACTACCGGAATCAGATACAGTCCCCCCCCCCCTCCCTTCCCCTTCCCCACAAGATAAAAATAACACTGCGCACCGGAATCCAAATGGCAACCCCCCTTTTGAGTCTGATCACGGGTTCAACTCGATTTGTTCACTACATGTATACACATTACGATGCGGTTACATATTTAGGGCACCCGCATAGTAGTAAGAAGCACCCCTGCGGTTACTGAAGACAAAAAAAAAAAAAATCGTGCGTGAGTCCCACCGCCGGCACCAGGAACTTTCATATGAACCCGCCGAACGAGACTCCGAGTCCTTCAACTGAAAACCCAAGTTTATGGGGCGGCCGGCCCCTGGGGGATATCACCGAATCGGGCATATGCATCGAACGGCTCACTAGTCAAGGCTCCCAACGAACGATCAGCTTCCGCCACGACGCTCCGTGCCACTGCACTCGAAGCCAAGACTGCTGCAATATATCGCAAGTCGGACGACGGTGGCGTTCTTCCTCACGTTGATGCTTTCCTGCATTACACCCCCTCACATCGTCATTACACCTTTGCTTTCAGAGTCCTACCAACAAGTCGACTCGATAAAGTTTGGGGACGAGAGGAATGCTTGGCCGTCGAAAAAACTGCTGGTGCAGACGTGCTCAAGTTCCCACGCTGGTGGCTGAACCAACCAGCCACTCATCCTCGGAAGGCTTTGGAACATGTTCTGGAGGTCAAGGTCAGCCAAATTTGCTTCTTACCGCTTGTCCTCGTTCGCGGTCAGAAATTTGTGTTTACTAGTGATGATATATGATAGCTCGGTTCGAATTACGCCCGGAGAACAAGGAAGCCCGGAAGAACCTTATTGTGGGTTTTTTTGATACGTTCAAACCCCGTCGATATCTCGCATCTTGCCGCTTGGACGTAAAGGGGGGGGGGGGAGCTAGAGGTGTGATAAAAAGCGGGCCACTGCCAGGGAGACGTGTCACATTGCCCCATCATTCCCTTGTCCCTTGTCTCTCTGCTTCGGACGACTACTATGAAATTCACCATTCGATCTCTTGCTGTTCTCTCTGCTGCCGTTGGAGTGCTCGGTAAGGGATTCCCCACCATGAACACTCCGTAAGTCTGTTTTTTTTTTTTTTTTTTTTTTGCTCTTCTTCCCTAGTGAGATGCTCAAGTTCTGACTTTCCTCCCTGTGTGTTTTTTTTCTTAAAAAAAATAGTAACAATCTGGTCACATGCGAGCCTGTCAAGCTCCATTGGAGTGGAGGAAAGCGTGAGTCGCCCTCTCCCTCCCTCTCTCGTCCAGTTCAAGTTCACACTAACCATCATTCTTTTTTTAGCGCCTTACTTTATCGTAAGTATGAGTATGAGTCGTCATCCCGGAGACACACACATCGGATCAGAAAGCAGGCTGATGTAGTGACCACTGACAAAAAACTTTACAGAGTGTTCAAGACGGCAACAACCCCTCTGGTCCAGCCCTTGAACAGTTTCCCGAGCAGTCGGGCACCTCGTTGACTTGGAAAGTCAACTTTTCAGGTGGTACTAGTATTGGCTTCCTCCTCCGTGACAGCAGTGGGGTTACGAGTCAGACTGCTTCGGTTGTGGTTCAGCCTGGAGGTGTGTAGTATCCAGCGATCCTCCTTCTCTTGCTTTGGGAAGCTTATATTTCTTGTTTTGAATACAGCTTCTACGGAATGCATTGGTAAACCCGTGGTGATCTACTACTAGAGTGGAGGTGGAATCTTGGATGCTAGTACTAAAATTGGTGTTCTTATGGCTACTCAAACCTCTCAAAGATATGTTGCGACCGACGTTAATCTTGTAATTTCAAACATAAGCCTATTCTCCAACAATGCGAAGTCATAAAAAAGAAGAGATATTGAGTTTGGGGCAAGAGACGCCGAAAACAGGGGACGTAGATAGTAAGTAAGTTCTCAAGTTCCCACGCTGGTGGCTGAACCAAATATAACTGTTCAGCCACTAGTTCTAGTCACGACTCAGCTTAGAACACGCTTCGCGTGGCTAAATGAGGCTGAAGGTCGAATGATTGCTTAACGCTGTTTGATCTCGGTCGTTCGCGCCCAAGAAATTTTGTTTAGTCGCCCGGGTTTGTAGACTTGAAGCCCCAGCCCCAGGCCTCATATTTTTGACGGGGCCGTGCGCCCATTCTGAGGGCCTGTCGATTGAATATGGTATATAAAATGGCTTTGAAAAATGCCGTTGACGATGACTCGAAAGGAGCGGGGTGGATCATGGTGGACTGGGCCTGAAAAGGCCTTATTTTGGATTCGCCGTGTAGGCTAAGAATACCCCCACCTGCACATAGTACCACATGTCTCTGCGTTAGCAAATTGAAATCGATCTATCATTCATACGTGCCGGGTAATAATCGATCATCACAGACGGGAGAAGCCAAAACAGCAGAGGATCATCGCAGCCTGAGTCTACGGCGC